CGTGTGTATTTGAGTGAGTCACCAGGAGAACGAGGGCTTTCACCCCTAGTCTTAAAGGACAGCTCACATCATTATTGAGCACCAGGACTTAACCCTCCTTCACATGCTGACTGGTGACTTCTGAAAGCGATTTAGTCTTCAGTTTAAAGTCATCATTTACTTGACAATATAACACTTTTTCTTCAAAGAACGGTTTAAAATTGCTTTTATATTAACAAAATATATGAAAATGTGTACTATTACAAGCAATCCAGAACATTTAAAGTCATTTACTGGATTGAAAGCAATTTAGAAAATCTTAAGATTAAACCCTATTATCCATCATTCATCTTGGACCATTTTGCCTAGATGCCTTTCAGCGGTTACCACAGCTGCTGTCATGTTTCCCATTTCTTTCAAATTCAATGATAGTCATAAAGACCAGAAAATGTCATTTAAGCAAAACACATCTTACGTCAATTTACTCAATGGAAACATAAATGATTGGTATGAAAAAAAATCCAATAAACCTCAACCAGAAAGGGTGATATTTCTTCTGGAACCACAGCAGGGTTTATAGAAATCACTTATGTTTTTTTAGAGAAACAACAGCATTTTATTGTCCAGGATAACGGCTTGGAGATGACGTAAGCGATTTGGACGCGCCTGTTGCTATAGATTCCAAGCATGGTTTATTTTGTTCATCTTTCGAATCAGGAAAATAAAGCATTTGTACGGAGTCTGCTGCATTAATTAACAACTACCAATGTTCCCCTGTGGTTCCCAACCACTTTGAAGAATCCTTCACAATAGACTAAGAGACTTAACCATTTACGAACTGAGGGGGGAAAAAAATATCTGTGATTGGATCACAATGCCACATGTTAGCTGATTGTAAGCTCAAGAATTGTATCGTAAAAGCAAAAAGCGCCTCTTGGGAATCCTGTCAGAAAAATCCCTCTGAGGAAATGCTGCCAACTAGTCTCCACCGATGACTGGTGAAAAGAGATTTCTTTAAAATCCATTTTTTTCTTTTTTTGCTTCAACACAGAGAGATGTTCTAATCCTCTGTTCATTGTTAGGGTTGTGTGGGACTGGCCGAGGGAAATAGCTTTTTGATGGCAATGGAGGGGAAAGGGAGCTTTGCCAAAGAGGGCTTCAGAAGTTAATGGGCCGATTAATATGCTGACAGTAAAATCTTGGCTGGAGCCATCAGGAGCTTCCGAGGCGTTATCTACTTCAGCGGTTTTGAAGATTATCTTTAAAGGGAAAACAGAAAATGACAATGTCAAGAACAAGAGAGATGTCTAAAAGCAAAGGTTTAATCAAGATTTACACTAGATGGAATTATCACCCAGCTAAAGCTGATTTACGTGAGGAAGCATAACAGTTTAGAGAAATTCTTCTTCTTATTCTATCCCAGATAACAGTTGTAGCCTTGAGATCGCCTCAAAAGCAAACAGCATCAGTTGTGGATTCACATTTTGATATCGCACCAAGGGTTGCAATGGAGTTTCTATTGCCTGCGGGTGATGTTTGATCCGATGGATGAGATGTTGCCTGTGGTAACTGTTGCCCCTGCAGAACAAAGAACCAAGAAGAAAATGAGAGCCATTTTCTCAGTGAATGCTCTGACGTTCAGGTGCTTACAAACACTGATCTTTATTTCGGCAAGGGAAGACAGAAACAGGAGCTTCTTAAGTCTTAAAAATAAACATGCTATGCCGGAGTTCTGCCAAATCTTTGTGAACACAAGACAGCTGTGGGTACTTTAACTTTCAAAGCTCTTAGGAGTGAAGAAGATCCAACTGGGCAGCTGTATGGCACACATATTGGAATGGTAACCTGAAGCCTTTAGGACAGACAGGTGACCTTCATGTTTCCTTCTGCAAAATGAGTCATTAAGAAATTCCCATTTCCTCACCCTTGCACACTTTTCCTTGCAGCAACAGTACAGTAAAGAAGGAAGGCTGAACACAGAGTTATCAGACTGCTGTGGTAAGATGTTTGTCTCTTGTAAACTGACACATAATTAATCACAGTTGCAGCAAACTATACGTTAGACGATGACAGGCAGGGGTTCAGGAGTGGCAAGGAGAATGAGGTTACCTCAGAAATGGAGGCTAAGAATAGTGGGCGTTTGCTGTTGTTTGTCCATGTATGTGTGTAACCTTTTTTTATGTGGATATGTTTGTGTGTGTCTGAGCTTATCCTCCCTCCAAGGTTTGCCAGAATCTGCTTCAGAGCAGAAACCCGGCCAATAAGCCACGAGCCATCAGCAGCCAGGTCAGATTAGGTGTCTGTCGTTGGCCTTTGTGCTGATAACACCACAATGAGTGGCACTTCCCTACCACCACTTCACCTCGGCCGTCCCACACTTGTCAGTCCTCCACTGGTCAGATAGGCTCTGTCAGTTAAATAAGAGATAACGGGAAAGTCAGGAGGAGGGAGGGGGGTGTTCTCTGTTAGTTTAGCACCCCAGTCGAAGGGTTTTTGTTACTGATGAGGGTCACAGAAGGAATGAACAGCCTAAAGACAAAGGGGCATGGGGAAGGGGAAAGTCGACTGGCACATTAGCTGGTGTCTCCCTATCACTCTGTTTAATCTGAAGAGACAAGGGATCTCTTGGATTGATGGGATGACCATGGGAACGAAGAGAGAGAAGAGGGGACACAACTGTCGAGATCAATTTGACTTCACATTCTCTGTGCACATCTGCCTCTCTCTACCAGTTACTCTATGGCTGTTTATCTATCTCATGCACACCAATTTAAATTTATATTTTCTATATGATTGATGTTTTTTTTGCTTCCTTATTAAAAACTTAAATTAGGGTTTATCTCTCAATCTTGCTCATTTGAGCTTTTCACGGTATTCACCTGGCAACCCAATTAGTATTTCATAAGAGGCTCATCACCTTTTCACACATATCACTGATGATTAGCCTTGTGGGATAACCTCGACAGAATAGTCTCCTGGATAGATTTAGTTAGTCTGTCAACAGGAATCAGTTCACGCAGGATGAGACCCATGTCAAACATTACCTCTCTATTTCAGAACAGAGGCACATCTGCCAAATACTGTTATTGAACTGGCACTACAAGAGCGTAACCCAGCCCTGACATAAATATTAAAGGTGTATGGTTGAGAAATATTAATGTCATATTCAATCAATCATTATTAACCAAGGGGAAAATCCTGTTTGAGGTGTAGCAGCATTAGCAATTTTTAGCTTTGGAAATGTCTGGATATCCCGCTTCTAAAATGTATGTAACAATGAGCCTCCTCTCTGCCTGTCAAAACATTTTGCCTTTTGTCCTGAGGAATCTGTTCATTTCAGTAAGCTTGTTCTAAATAGTGTTGCCACAGACTTATTGGAAAAGGCTATGTCTCCACCTATAGGGGCAAACACAGCACTACAATTCACAACATTTTCTTCATCTACCAAATGTATTCAAGAATCAACGCAATAGTCGAGTACAATAAGAAAAACACATTCATTGAAATTAAGTTTACTCAGGAAAAACGTTGTTTAAAAATGTACTTATAGTTATGCACTGTACTTTTTTCTGAAAATGATATCATCAAACAAGCTATTTACAGTTGTTTTGCATTGGACACAATGTGTGCTATTCGTTATCTGAGACCAGCTAACACCTGCTTATGATGGCTCTTACAGTTATAATTATAAATTACTTTTTTTGTGCTATGGAAATAGTATTTATTGTTTTTCAATTGCTTTATAAAGTAATTAGCATCTAATGTAAATTACGTATTTAGGGTTTATTATGTGCAATGTTGAATAATTGTAGAATTCCTGCTGAAGGTTTAAAGGAATTATTCTTTGTTGGGAATTAAATTCGGAGAGGTCTTGGCCCATTAACATGACAACATATTAGAGAAGCTATAAATAAAAATTGGAAAGGTCGTGGACACTCAGAAACATCTGACAAAAATGATAATATCGGTTACAGTTTTTTGTTTGGTTGTTCAAAAATGTGAATAGGAAGAATCAAACAGGAGGCACACATTTTAAAACTGAGTTTGTTGATGCTGTATATTTGTAAGTTTGGAGTAAATACAAAGTACATACACACCATCAAACAGGCATACAACATACAAGCAAAGTATAGAAAAGAGAAGATCTTTGATGCTTTTTATACATTCTTATATACAGTGTAGATTATTAAGATATTACAGGAGATTAAAATAGAAATAATTTTCTCTCATCATCCGTGTGTCGAGTGAATGCTTTCATTTTTTAAATCTAGGAAAAATTAAGACGAGACGTGATAACACAATTTGTTGACGGACATCACCATATGAACAAAACACTGATGTCAACACAGTGCCTTTTTTTCCTCTGCTTGTTTATCTGTTCTGGTAATTAAAATATTCTGTGAGACAGTAACAAAACAGTGCTACAAAATAACTCAGGAATGTGATTATAAGATGATGTCTGATACATGTATCTTGATTATATATACAAGTCAAGAGCAGTACAATTATTTTTTTAGCAATGTAACACACAAAGCAAAATGTGAGCAGAATGGAATGCTTGTTATATGTTTGGATAAAAAAAAACGACGATACACTATGAAAACTCTTTGTGTTTGTCACAAGAAAAGCACGTTTCTGATCCTTTGTCATCGTGATCGCATCCCTCCCACCAACATTCCTGCTCTATCTCAAAAGGAAATAAGTTATTTTGGTCCAAGAAAAGGTCTCCGCTATTTCATCCAAGAAAATAAGGCTGGGTAATTTCTGCATACTTGTGAGTATATTTTGTTTTGCTCAGAAAACATCAAAAATAGAGAGTCACACGTTTCTTTATGCTTTCTACAAAACAGAGTCACATTGTTCTTTATCCTTCCAACAAAACAGAGAGTACAAAGTTTGAGTGGGAGGATTAAGATAAAAACATGAACAAATGTAAGGGGAGATGGTTTCCCTGAGTTTGAGTGTGTGTGTGTGTGTGTGTGTGTGTGTGTGTGTGTGTGTGTGTGTGTGTGTGTGTGTGTGTGTGTGTGTGTGTGTGTGTGTGTGTGTGTGTGTGTGTGTGTGTGTGTGTGTGTGTGTGTGTGTGTGTTTCTCTGCCTGCCTATATGGTCTCTACATAGTTGGCAGGGAATAAGCCTTGGCGTCCATCTTTGCTCCACCCCCTCCACCAAGCTTTGTCCACCGTCTCCACGTCTTTTATGATGTCACCGGGTTCAAAGGAGATCTCAGATTCGTCCTCTGTGGGAACCGCAAGATAACATGGTGAAGACCCACTAATCACAGTGTAATTACACTAAGTGGAGGCACTTTATTTGCACATGTGTGGCGATTATCCTGTAAATGGCAGCTTACCTGCTTGGTAGTCATACAACGCTCGGACACACATTTGTCGCTCGGCTGAAACCTGAAGTGAAGAGGAAGATGGAATCAGAAAAAGCTGTAATCATGTTTACGGCATCTCTTGATTAACTAACAAGGCAAACTAAATGAATAACATGGAAATATTGGTATTTATTAACTTTCATTTGAAAGATTAAAGCTTGTCATATTTGATATTTTTAAACAAAACTACTGAATAGTCGCCTATTCAAAAAGTTATTCACTATCCCATTGCAGTTAATTTTAAATCCCACAAACGCTGGTGCTTTAAATACCAACTAGTAGTAAATTGTCCCAAACACATGTACAATATACTTCTGTTCGCTGAAAACTACAGTATTAAGTAATTAAAAAACTTAAATGAACCTTTTCAAAGTAAAAATATGTTTGTCACTTATTTGTAAATATCTAAATCTTATTTAGGAAAGTATTGAGGGACAGACTTTTGTTTTTCTCATAGGACATTTTTGAAAATAAGAAAAATATGATCAATGATGACCTTTGGACTTAGAAGTCAATATTCAACTATACATTTTTCTAATAGCAAATTTCCGTTAAAAATAAATGTTGAGTTTCGGACTAACAATGTACAAGTACAAAGCGTTTGTAGATACAGTACCTCTTGTCCATTTTCAGAGATGATCTGGTCCTCTTCCTCAATGACGTCGTCCTCCTCTGCAGTGCCATGGAGATCGTAGCTCCCAGTCAGCTCTGGTGAGCTGAGCTCTGTGTCAGAGGGACTCAGAGACCGCCCTGAGGAACACCAGAGGAAAAAGCATTGACAAAGATCCATCAGCACAGGTAATTAATGTATTTAGTTATCGCTAAATAACCCTACATTGTATAATATTGTTTGAACATTTGATTTGCCAAACCTATTCCATTTTGTCCATTTGTGCCCTCGCCATTTGTGATCCCATTGGTTGACAGGACCACAGTCTCGTGGTTGTTTACTTCACAAATGGGTTCGCCATCTGAAATAATGGTTGTAACCTTTGGTCATTGTGCACTTTATACAAATGTCATTTCAACTTATGGAAAGCTGCAGGGACATCATTTAAATATAAATGCTGTCTGACAGCGTATCACAAAGGTTAATACCGTCAAAATAACAGGATATGTGAAGAAGAAAAAAGGGCTACCTGTAGCTGTTGACTCTTCCTCTTTCTTTGAAAGCACAGCCATGTCAGAGGGATCCTGGCCGTCTTCTGATTGGTCATTCTCCTCTTCATCTTCCTTTGCCTCCTCTTCCTCCTGCAGCTTTTCCACTGGATGGTCCACTGTAAGCTGTAATTCCTCCTTCTCTTCTTTGTTGTCCTCTTCTACTTCTTTTTCTTCCTCTTCTTCCTCCTTCTTTTCCTCTACCTCTTCCTCATGATCCTCAGTCTCGCCTGGTTCTGCGATGATAGTGCAAGACTGTTGTTGTGTTTCAGCCTTTTCTTCCTCGTGATCCTCCTCTTCCTCTTCCTCGTCCTCCTCCACCAGTACAGCCTGTACTTTGTAGGCAATTTCTGAGACCAGCTCAGTGTGCCCATGAGTGGATGTGTTGAGGTCTGTTGATTGGAAAGTGATATCGGAATTTGATAAGGTTGTAAATTGTTTTAAAAGACAAAAACAAAGGCAGTGGGTGTTTCTCAATCGCGAGTAAAGCTGCTGCAGAGCCACTATTTCAAGCATACTACGTCATCGAGTGCCGCCGAAGTACTGTTCCAATCTCCAGCATACTTGGAAATCTACCGAGCCCGGCGTACTCCGTTTGGAGAAATATCGAGGCTGAACATGAGTAGACTCCGCGGTCTTAAAATCCCCACAATGCTTTGCGCACGGACCAATTTCCAAAATCTGTGGCGGAAAATGTAAGGCGGGGCCTCTCATATGACGCACACCTGCACACTTGCTAGCCTGTTCCACTCTTTGTTTTCTGAATGGCAGGAAGTATACTTGACTCGCTTCTGAAGCAAGATGCTCGGCAGACATGTGCTACCAAGCAAGCCTACTCGCGATTGAGAAACACCCAGTGTATGAACTGGTTGAAACACTATGACTATAAGGAATACAAAAGACTGGTTCTCTGGGTGCACATTACAGAGAAGATTTGGTAGAATGAAAGTGTATATATATATATATATGTGTGTGATTATTCTAGAAATATTTAATTGTGACTGGAAAAATATGCTAAGCCTTCTGTATAACAGGCCACTGATTTAAAGCTGCGGGCTGCTTTACACAGAGTAGGTGGAATACATTTATTTCAAAAGCGTTTAAGTCACTTAAGCCTTTAATGAAATAATATTACCATATCAATTCTAAATGTCAGCTGATTAATGTATTCGGCAAGGTACTAAGCAGAGTGATTTGCTCTTCTTCACATTGCAGCACGACCCTTTTGTTTTTGCAATGAGAGAAAATAATAATTACCTAATAAATGGAATAACATTGTATTATCAGATCCCAATATAATTGTTTGTGTCCCATCTCGCTTACCTGTGATTCTCTCGGGAACAGGAGCAGGCTCGAAGCAGAAAGCTGAGTCCTCGGGCTGGTTTGGGGTGTTTGGGGGGGAGGAAGGGAGGGCGTCTGCATGGGAGTGGGAGGGTTTGTTTAAACAGGAGGACAATGAAGCCAAGAGATCAGGGGAAGCAGGAGGTGCAGAGGGTTCTGTGGGTGACGGAGGTCTGGGCTCAACAACAGCCTGAATTTGGTTTTTACTTTGTGGAACGCTGGGCAGGGCCGAGACCGGAGGGGCCGGGCGAAGGGGTGATGTAGGCGGTGACATGGGGGCTCTGGGCCTTAGTGAAGTGGCAGGGCGGAAATTAGGGCTTGTAGGGGGAGAGGTGGCACGATAGATGGGGGAGGTAGCAGCCCGAGAGAATGGGGAGACCAGGGGTGAGCTGTAAGGGGAGGAAGACGTGCTGTCCTCTGCTTTAGTGAAGATGAAGGCTGTGTCTGTCAGGCTGCGCTGGTATCGTCTGAAGGGTTTGCCTGGAGAGAGAGAAAACAGTTTGTCTGGGCTGATCTTTGTGATTTAATAAGCTCGTCCGGACCTTCAACAGTTTCAGCATTTCTCTCTGTTGAAGCTCACACAGTGAACGTACCAGAGCGGGAGGATCCAGGGCTGGTGGGACTCTGTGATGATGATGATGAGAGCTGCCTGAAGAACTCCCTGGGGTTCATGGAGCGCTGGGACACTAATTCTGCTGCCTCCTGCAGGTCAAGAAACATACAGAATAAGAATTAAATTGACATTTTTAAACAGACTTGGCCAGTTTTTAAGAAGGTTTCAACAAAAAACTGCATTCTAAAGACAGGTCAGGTCTTTGACAGAGTAGAACATAAAGTAGATTCACTTACTGCTGCTTTTTCTATGGACTCACTCCTTCTCAGACGAGCCCTCATGTCATCGAAATGCTCCCTCTGCTGATGCTCCTGTCAGTGCACAAACACAACAGCAATCATTCTCTTCATTTTAAACTATTTGATAAAGTAGATGACAACACCTGAGATTAGTGTAACTTGAATGTTTCAAAATGTAGTCCTGAATTAATGATCTGAAAACTGCTGACACAAAGCAATATATCCGAAGCAGTTTCTTTTGCTTTACTCTTAGGCATCTAATATCTCTAAACTACACACAAGTAAAACCACCATTACTCTCACCTCGCACAGGTATTACTATACAGTCTGAACCAAATACCGGAGGTTAATGTGTAACTCTGCCTCTAAAACTATGATCATACAAACAACCCACCTGCAGACTGAGATTTCTTTTCAGTTTCTTGTTTACTATTTGCACAGTTTAAACATGCTACCAACAACCCTGGCATGTTTTGGCATTCATAATACTCTATAATCGTTGTGTCTCTCATGTTTCGCTATTTCAAGCCGTGAATATGCATAGCAACCATTCAGTGCGTGCGGCAAGGAATCGGTGACAAGTTAATTAGCTAAATGATAATGTTCTTATCAACTGTGCATCTATTAAATGTCTCATTACGAACTGAACGATCAGCAGCGGGTACATAGTCCACATTCCCCTGTACATTTTAATAACTCCACTGTTTGTTCATATAGCAGTTTATATGATGATGAAGGGGGTCATGAATTAAAGGTTCAGTTATAATATCCTCAGAAACAATTATAGTTTTGGAATCAAACGTCTCAAGGATAAAGGTTAATCCAGTTCTTACACAGCGGTCAATGACTTCAGACATATCTGACCAAACTGGAAAGCCACAAGGCAGAAAAGCAGGTGTCCATTTTGCCACTACCCAAAGCCATTTGATGGACCATTTGCAATCATTTTACAAGCCAAAGCTAGACGATCATTGAAAGGTTTAGCTAAACATCATTTCACTCACCCATTTTAATTTCTCCTTTTTGCCTAGCTCTTCTTCTTGCTCTGCCCGTTTTCTCCTGCGAGACAGGAAGATAAATAATAAATAATCATTGGTGCATTTACTGTGTAATTTAATTGACTTTGCTCCTTCAATTTACACAAAATAAAGCCACTATACTGTAGGACAGTATTGAAAGCCATTGCTCTCACCTTTGCTCCTCAATCATCTGTAGCTTCTCATTCATCCTCTTGTCTCTCTCTTCTGCATCCCTCCTCTCTTTTAAAACTCTTTCTCTTTCAATGCGGCGTCTCTCCTCTGCTGCTCGTCTCTTATCATCGTCTTTCCTCTCTTCCTCTTCACGCTTGCAAAAAACAATGGGAAACAATGAAAGAGTAAACGGCAGGGTAGCTACATTTAAGCCTCTAAAATGTGGCCAAACAGATGGATACTTTAGCATACCTCTGCACGGGCCCAGAAGGAGTCTCTGTTTATACGTCTCATCTCCATGGCAGCATTAGTTTTTCTGTAGTTGGTACCCTTTATGAAATACAAAGGAATAGTGAATGCAGAGCCACACATTCTTAAAATGTCAAAATATGAACAGCTTTTTTTTAATGATTATTATTTTCATGAGCATGGTTAAACAACATACTAATAGCAAAAGTAAAACACTGAAGTCACTAAGGAGGTACGTTTCTGTCTTGAATTATGTCATAATGTGTATATGAAAGTCTTTGTCTCCATCTGATGGGCCGACGCGGTATTGCAGTAGACTCACCACTAAGTCCTCTTTGTCAGCGGACCTGGAGCTCCTTCTCGCCCACTGGGTGGGAGCATTGGCCTGGACCTTGTTGAGCTCAGCTTGTATATTCTCCTCTGTCACATCCTCCACTTTCTCTGCGCTAATGAACACATGAGCTTCCTGAAACACGAAGGGAAAGAGAAAGAGACGGCACATAGATTTAGACATATGTGAATTTATTCCACCGTTACATTCTGTAGACACAATAAATCCATACACAAGTACACATAGTCCCTCTGGTGGTTTTCTCTTGGTCTTACTTGGAGTTATGCAAACTCAGAGCCAAACAGTTGTGCAACTGCTTCAGTTTTAAGGATTGTAAGAGAGTGAAAATACTCCCTGGCTTCAGAATGAGCACAGGAATGCATTGGTTTGGATGGTTATTGATGGCAGTAGGGGGAAATAGGGTGTGATATGGGGAAAGTAAGAACACAAGGGTGTGAAAGCTTGTGCTTTTGCAAAAAAGTAGAGAAAGAAAGGGCCTTACTTAACATGCAATAGTTGCTCAATACTTGGAAATCAAGCTAAAGGGAGATTAAGAGACATTCAAGTATCTTGGAGTCATACTGGACTCGAACTTGACTTTTAAGAAACATATCAAGAAAGTATCCAATACCGTTAAATTCAACTTGCAACATTTTAAACAAATCAAACCTTTCTTAACTGTCAATGCTGCAAAGTCATACCTCCACTGCATGATTCTATCCCACACTGAATACTGTCTGACAAACTGGTCGTTTGCTTGTGCCACAAACCTGAAACCAATAGAACAGCTGTACAAGAGAGCTATCAAGGTGTTTGACAGAAAGCCTTATTCATACCACCACTGTACCATCCTTGAAAAACACAATTTCTTGAGTTTTGCACTAGGTCAGAAACCAGAGGAGACTGTGAAGTCCACCGCAGACGGACCACTTTTGGACAAAGTGTCCTCTCCGTTAAAGGCAGCTCATTGTGGAATAGCCTCCCAACTGAGATACGGGATTGTCCCACTGTCAATAGTTTTAAAGGTCAACTCAAAGCATGGTTAAGAAACAAACAGACGTGCAATCACCGCTAAATGCACTTTAATACAGGGGCATCTCCTCTTGCACTTTATGTAGCCCTTTTATCTCCTCCTGCACTTTATATGTCGTAGCTGCTACATTGTACTGCCTTGTGGTAAATGCTTGTATGCTGCTCATGCTCTTTCTGCATATCATGTATTTCTGTTTGTATGTATATAAATGTTATGTTCATAAATGTTGTATGTGACGGGACTACGGATGGAAATTAGCTCAAAGCTCAAATCCGGCTCATTTACATTTCAAAGCATTATTTTGTTTAAAATGTTCATTAATGTGCATTGTTCCGGTTCAAATAAACGATTAAATGAACAAATAAAAACACTATCAACAGATCATATTCAAAAACCACAGAACAATAACATAGTATTCTACTTATGTTATTTCTATGGGATGGATAGGTGTTAGACATAAGCTGAACTCATTCATGTATGTGGGCAGGACCTCAGAATGATTTCCTTTCATAGTAAGTCCGGGCTTTTCTGATGGAGAGCCAGGTCTGTCTGCCTCCAACAGGAAACCACGGCTTTATCTGAGTGGCACCGCTGACACTGACACTGAACAGAGCATTCAATGTGCCCTATAATACATGTCAGCGCAGTGTATAATCCGTATCACTCTAGCTGTCACTGCCAACTGCACACACACCAAACAAGCAGTCCACAGTTCTGCCAGGGAGTCTTGGAAAATCATGGAAACAGACAGAGCCACAATCTACACAAAAAGCCCACAGTAGCAGAACAAGTTTACCCATTACACATGACACCAACCCTTTATCCTCATGAACTGTTTTTTATGAGGTACAGGAGGTACAAACACTGCCAGGGTTAGTGATGGTGTCACTATACTCATAGTTTATGAAAAAGCAGGACAAATAAGATATTTTCTTCCATGCTTCGACAATTCTTCACGCAAATGATCTCTAAATATGTACCTTACTTTTTAAAACTCTTGTGGAGTCATTTAACAGCACTGAGGCACTTCAGGACCTGGATTCCTTTTGTATTATTTTATTCAAGATGTAAATCACAAGTGTTAAAGTTTAAATAAAGTCCCTAAGATTGTCTCTCACAATTCCCTAAATGTTCTTTTCCATCTGTTTCCACCCAATTACATGTGGTTTGCTGTAAATGCAAAGTATTCACACATGCCAATTGGCAAGATGTTTTACTGCTGCTTCAACAGTAAACTGCTTTATTCAGGCACGTGAGGCATAATCCCCCATATCTAAGGAAACATCTCTGCATAACGTCCAACGGGCATGTTGACTTAGAATCAAGTATTTGTAGCAAACCTTGGAGATGAAAATGACGATGGGAATAAGAATACAATCTAAGGATCCCAAGGTGATGAGACAGGTTGCGAAATACAGGCTAAATATAATCACACAGACTGTCTCCTCCTCAGGAGTTAGTGTGTCTGTTCAGGCAGATGCAGTACGTGGATGTGGGGATACTCAAGCGTCCCAAGTTGAAGTCTGACCCAGTTTACTGAATTATAATAAGTTGTATTATTGCACAAAGAATTCCTCATTAAAATGTTGTTAAATTGTGTACATCACTGTGTTGAATAAGTTTCTTTAAATATAAAAAGATAATGTTAGGTGATTCATGGGCAGTTCGATTATGCATTGGTATATTTATGACATAATGTTCCACATTGGTAGTGACAGCTCCTCAGTTTAATGAAGACAGGAGGAGCAAAGAGGCCTATGTTGGTTGACATGAAAGTAAAGCCTCTGATCTTAAGTGTGTGTCAGGGCGACAGGACAGACGAGAATGATGAAGTGCTTCAGGGTTTAGTGCCTCGACCTGCACAAGTTGCTTTGCTCCACGTTTACAGCAGCATTATTGTTCTTTGTTAATATCCAAATCTCATGCTCCACAGAAAAAGACCGTTTTTCTGCCAGGCCTTTTCGTGGACAAATATGGTTATGCTTCTGAAATGTTTGATTAATTAAAGTATAGATTTGATTAAATTAAAGAAAAATTATTCAGCTTCACTTGTTGCTTTTTTCCAGTTGTACAACACTTTATAATACTGTATTAGATCATGTTCTCCTCCAGTGTATCACTCACAGTATCAACATCTGATCTGACACACCAACATCTGATCTGACACACACACACACACACACCCTTCTGACTCACTTTATTCAGTTATTATTCTAGTGTAATCGGAGAACAATGAAATCAGCTGCACCCTATTCATATTAAAGTTTGTATTACTTAACGCCACCCAGGAGTACAGAATGTAATGTCTCCAAATCTGCCGCTGCAGACTCGCCTTAACAAAAGCCCCTCACTGCCAGCTGGGACATGCAGCATAGCAAGCCAGGAACACAACGTGAAAGAACTGAAAGAGGAAAAAGGCAAACAACAAAAACACACCAACTAAGTGCCAAGGGAAAATCTAACTAACTGCATCCAAGGCAATGAAAGCCAAGACTCCAAGAAAACAAGTTAATTGAGCCCCCAGTTATCATCACATCAGTCGATTTATGTATATGGGTTATCTCAGTAGTTCTGTTTCCCGTACATTGCAAGGTCAAGTATGAATTTAGCTGTGAGTCAGGATTGTTATGCTGTGGCGTCTGTTTATTTTCTGTGGACAACATTTAAATACAACCTTGAATTCCCTTGCTGTAATATTCATATATATCCAACGTCCCCTCCAACATCCCCTGAGAACATATAAAAACGGTTTCATTATGTTTTAATTCACAAAAGAATTATGTAGAAGTGGCCTAAAAACAAGAAGCCTTTGAGTTTTCACAAAATGTATTTTGTAATGCCATGTCCTTGACTTGGCATGAGCATTGGCTGATAAAGTTTGGATTTCCTTTTGTCAAAATAGACCATTGTTAAAAGTGCCAGATTCACAATTATTGTCCAAAAAATACTTTGAATTAAAAATAAACGTATTAATTGATCGACTTTTTTTAAATTAATCAATAAACATTGCTTCTTAAGTTAAAATTGTCAAGATACAGATACATGGAGCCGGCGATTGGAGTAATTGATGCCTGTTATCTTTAAAACATGAGAAATCTGTGAGGTATCTACAATTACTGAATCTCTATACAGTGGGTCACTTCTTGGTGTACTAATTGTTGCCATGTGGATGTGAAATCCTTTTGAAGATAAATATAAATTATTATCCAACTGCTGTGAGTAATATTTCTTCAGGAATTAATCACACGCCAATTCCAGATGATTTTACAGAGCGAGATATGACGCAGACAGCTGTGCTTTACACGTTTTCAACAATGCTTTCTTTACCGGCATACTGTATGAAGCACGTTTAAACATTTGTTTCTCTTTACGAGCAATGAACTTGATGGGAAAGATGAGTCAAGAGGATTACTGTGCCTTAAAAATGTGTGAAAACGCCACGTTTGCTCGTAAAGTTGGAATGAACAGGAAACAGGATAGCACAGTTATGTCACTACAGTCTTGGCAAATGCAATCCATATGCTTGGCAGGGATGGCCATGGTGCAAGGTGATAATATGTTGTCTATTAATATGAACCAGATATATAATAAATCTAAGAAACGTTTCTTTCTTATTCTCAAAGTGTAAACTATTCAGAACAACAGTTTGGTCATGATTGAGTTCCATTTTTTGCCGTAATCGCAGAGAAGTAGTGGTGACAATAGTGAGTAGTGTGTGTGGCTGTGTGTATGTATGTGTGGTAAGGTTAGGGTCCCACAATTCTCTGAAGGATAGACACATTTCTTTAATCTAAGTAATATTTACAATGTAATTATTTCTGTACACTTTTCTAATCCCAAATGAATATGCACACAGGACATGCTAAATGCAATGTAATGACATGCACACAGGACCAACACACACACACACACACACACACACACACACACACACACACACACACACACCACACACACACACACACACACACACACACACACACACACACACACACACACACACACAACACACACACACACACACACACACACACACACACAGAGGGGTTAGGCGCTTTCAGTCAGAGGCTCACATAATCCCAGTCTTGACTTTCACCGTTTAAAAAAAAAAGGGACAAGAAACAACAAACATTCCACAGATGCTTCTGCAGTTGACTGGATGATGCCTTTATATGGAAACTAGTAAACCTAGGGGTCATTAGAACCTCTCATAGTTTGCTGCAACACTAAATAAACAGTTTGAGGAGCACACACTGACAGAAGTTGCAGTTAACATTGAGTTGGACAGAGTTGCTTATATACTATTCATAAAAAACACATGAACCTGAATCATAACAAATATAGATGAATTAGCTTTTTTCTATTCCCTCCACTTCATGTCACGACTTGATTTTGTGACGTGAATTCAGGTAGCACCGCAAACAATGGAGCTTTTAAGCCCAAATGTAGCTGTCTCTCCCTGATAGCAACATGGCAGATAGACCAATCACATGACCAACACTGCAACAGAACAGGAAGTGGACTGAGGACAGGAAACTCTCAAAACAATACAAAGTAAACTCCCGTGAGTAAATATAGAGTTTGTGAGCACAACGTCTAGAGTCCAGGGGGGGGAAAGTTGGACAGAAATGTTTTTTGTTTAGCAGGAATTTCGGAAAACACTGAGTGACAGGTATATTCTTTTCATGAACATGACTACTTGAGTCTCACCCCTGACCGCAAATATCAAAGCTGCAATTCTGTCATCTTTAATGCACATTTAATGGGAATCTAAACAAATAGACAAACTAATGGATGAAGCGCACAAGGGTTAGTGATTTAGGATTTTGCACGTCATGATGTACTGCACCTTGAAAAAGTTTTTGATGGCTGGAATGTGGCTGGCACATTCTGTCCTTCGGAAGTCATCCACATTTTGACCGACCTGCAGACAAAGACAGGATGGGGACACTTACATTCATATCATACCTCTCTTGGAGTGGACTAAAATAACACTAAAACAATGGGATTCACATTGCTGTGGTAAAATCTCTGTTTCCCCATTTTGATAATGAAAACATAGAAGCTCAAATATTAGCTCATTATGGAGTATAATTCAAAGCATCGGTATTGTTTTGAGTATTTACAAACCTAATATGAAAATAATCTTTGACACTGATTTCCTTTAATATGGCTGCGATATTACCAATATAACAGCAGATTGGTGTCATTGTAAACCCTTTCAGAATTATTTTACTGGACTTATTTTCATATATATATATATATTATTAACAAATCAAGGTTACAGACCTGCAAAAAATGTTAATTCAATAGATTCATTTCAGTGCAGTACACTGATAAATACAAATATTAGACATGCTCTGCGATTCACAAAGATTTGGATGTCATACAATTAAGTTATAATACATCCTACCACATGTCAGATGCCAAATAAGCCCATGTCAAAACAAAACTATAGAATGTGAATAAGTCAAGAAGCTTAGGATTTTCTACAGAGCATTTAACAGATTAATGAGTCCATAGAGTTTTCAGTATGTGACTACTTAAGATGTTAAACCCATTGTCTTGCAACTGCTAAATGTCATTGCTGAATCTTTATGAATGCAAGTCTGTGAGCACCTCGGTGTACCTGCTGTTTTCATAGGTTTATGTGTCTTCCTGTAATTTGTGCTGGTGTGTGTTTCTTTAACATGATAAGCTTGTGCTTACAAGTGCTAAGCCCCAGGAGCCAGCCTGCCACTCACCCAGTTGATCATAGCAATCCGGGGGCCTCCTGTCTCCACACTTCCCACTTTGCACAGTCCGTATTGAGGCTTGGAGATGTGAAATTTGCCGGACAGTTCTGCCACACCACCCGCTGTTAGAAATTAGGGAACAAATGCAATGACATGATATATTTTTGCTCAACAGTTGTAAGAATGTTCTCTTAACACAAGAGGTGAGGTGTATTCCTTTTAGGCTTACAGTCAAAATCCTGTCAGTGTCATTCTTTGCAGGGCTTAGAAATACAAAGTTAGCATTACAAACACACCACTTATTACAATCCATCTTACCTCCTGAGTCAGCCAGCTTGAGCTTGTTGGTGACTCCATCATATGTGAATATTGCCCTGAGGACACACAGAGAAACACACAGGTCAGCTACTGAGCAATATGAGTGACATAGACATGACAGAAACCTTTGTAATGATGAGTGTCAACAAAACACAGGTTGAACAAAACGACTGCTTGATTTTTGTGTTCCTAAAACTTCAATATCCAAGCTTGAGGATGTAGAGAGCTGCGTACGCCATGTGTTCAGTCTTTTATTGTTCACAGAGGACACACAGACCTGCACAGCCAGATGTTTTACCGCACACATTTTGTCTTAACCATAACACACTTCTCTACATTGCACCAACCAATATGAATTATCTTCAGCTGTGACACATGCATACGTTTACTTTTTTTCCCATTCCCAGAGGCCTTTACAGTACATGCGTAAAACAGGAAGGTCAACACAATGACCTTCATTCAGTGTTTGACTCAGATGGATGGCTCCTGACTGTGAAACAAATGCATTCAGTACTGTTCACAGCTACAGGGTTTTTGACATTTTGCAGGTGAAAACCTGTCCTACCGCACCCTGCAGTCAGTCAAACTGCAGGTCACCGTGGCAACTCAACAACTCATGATGTGTTACCATGAGATCAGTGAGATATAACTCTACTGCTGAACAAACTAAGCGCAGTGTTGTTTTAAGATGTTAGCTTTGTTGCAGAATCTCCAAGGTCTCATAATCAACCAAAGAAAAACAAACCAAAAGATAAATAGGATTTTTACTTTGGGGCTTGTAAGGCCAAGCGTCTCCCTGCATGTTATCAAAACCAACAGTTCAGAGTCCAAAACGAACCCACGTGCTGTTTGACATGACTCTAACATCATCCTGAATTATCTGTGTGTTTGAAGCACAACTGGGGGCAAATGTGTGTGTGTGTGTGTGTGTGTGTGTGTGTGTGTGTGTGTGTGTGCGTGCGTGCGTGCGTGCGTGCGTGCGTGCGTGCGTGCGTGCGTGCGTGCGTGTGTGTGTAAGTAACTTTACGAGGTGGCATGCAGAGAGAAGAATTGTGTGTGTGTGTGTGTGTGTGTGTGTGTGTGTGTGTGTGTTTGGCTGCGTGTCTCCGTAAATTTCTCTCTGCAGGACTCCTGGGGTGTGTCAATAACATCTGGAGCGGGGTGGAAAGAGTGTAAGGCCATGAGCAGCTATTACAATGGGCCAAAGGTGACTGGTCTGTGTTTATGGATGTGTGTCTGAAGCAGGAAGTGAATGAGACAGTGAGAATGAGACACAAATAGAAAACAAAGTTTGGGCCTACTCTCACAAAAATCTACATTAAAAACAATAGCAGTTTGGCAAAGAGGCTGACAAGAAAACAGCTAACTCAGTTAGGATCTCTGAATCACTCTGTTATTTTTTCCTGACACAACAAGTCTCTGTCTGTCCAAAGAGCAAAGAGCGACAAAAGTCAATCGGTATGTGTGTGAGTGTGCTGAGGACACAATAACTATATTGTGTGCCCAATTGAGCCATCTGCAAGCTGACCCTGCATGTGTGAGCAACTTAAAAATGCCTCTTCAGTTAATGCGAACAGGCGTTTCCTTAAAATTCCTTATAGCACCAAGCAAAACCAAGTATTTTTAAATAAGATTTCGTCAGAATATGAAAAAGTCATGGAAACCTTCTGAAGCGCTCCCAGGCATTATATGAGCTTTGTGTCGCCCGGATCATTCACATATCTCCTCAGAGATTAGTCTAGCCACAGTAACTATATAAACAACACACTCTATTCCCTCATTAGGCCTACCGGCATCCAGAGCTCAGACACCAATCCACAATTACCAATCCTTGGTCCTCAAAACATTCCTAAAGGTCACCATTTACGAGCCGTCAAGGTCAAAGGTCACTATGCCTCTGAAGGAGTCTTAATTGCATGCGCAAATTCTCCACCCACCTGGAACAGGCTTGCACATGAGGTACACTGTGCTGAGGGAGACTCTTTGTTCTGCCAGAGCTTTCACTGGGATGGATTTGCAAATATCCTATTTTCAGGCATTTGTCTCCACAGGACTTGACTTAATCCCTGTCTTGGACATTACCAAGGTGAGGGGAATTTCAAAAGCAATGATTTTACAAAAGCAACACAAAATAGAAAGTTAAGAAAAAATTGAAAAATATATATATTTCTTAAATGTATTATTAGAGCTGATCACCTCCTACAATTCCTGCCTTATTTGACATTGTTAAATCTTCTCTTTTCTATCCACAGGAAGGACACGTATCACTGAAATAAACTGGCAAAATAAAGTGTAATGATGGCATCAAGAAACAATCCTGAAACTGCTCTACTTTTTCAGTTTTCAGAGTTCTTGATATTATATATATTTTTTAATGTTCTTCTACTATGTTGCCACTGTCTGAAAGAGAGGGAAATATCTAATTCTGTGGGAAACCACTGATCGATATTAAAGATATGCCAGCAGTGTGGTATAATGAGCACAGAGGGACAGTTCTCACTTCACAAGACGGTAAGTGTTCAGGTTCACATCACAAGTGTATACCCTGCTGAAGTGTCCTTGAGCAAGACAATGAATCCAGAAACAGTTTTACAGTCCCTCATGTGTAAGGCAAGGCAAGGCAAGTTTATTTATATAGCACTTTTCAACACAAGGCAATTCAAAGTGCTTTACAAAAATGAAAGACATTAAGAAGATGGCATTTCAAAACAGTCATTAAAAGCAAAGATAATAAAATAAACATTAAAAGAAGAAATACATGAATAAAAGTTACAGTGCAGTTTAATATATGAATAGTTCAATTAAAGCTGTGTAGCTACAAGTCACACCCAAGTTAGCCAACTGCATGCCCTTCTCTCTTTCTCTCCATTTGATTAGCGTTGTGTCTGTAATGATGAAGCAGCCGTACTAAAATCAGACTTTCATAACCAACAGACCAGATAAACCCCCTTTCCTTCACACATGTAGCATTCTTGAGAGCTACACTGACTGATGAGAAAAACAGACTCCAGCCCACACCAAACCCAGCCAAATATGACCTCAGCTCTGAGAGAGGGAGGGAGGGATGGGGGAGGAAGAGATGAGAAGAGAAAAAACAATGGTGGCAAAATCTGAAACAACTTGCTTTAAAGTAACTATCAAATATGTGCATAATTAGTTCAGCCTGCCACTCAGATATTAAACAAATAAACAGCCAACAGACATGTGAGAGTATACACAAAGGCACCCATACATAAACACAGTCATGCACACACACACAAAGTATACTATATGCCAGTAACAATAGGGATTGTTTGTTTTGGACTACTTGAGCCTCTGAAATACCACCAAACATGCTACGCTCTACCATTTCAAGATGGATATAACAGAAGCAGATGGTGAGCTGTGACTGGAAAAGGACTTGTTTTCACTTAACCAGGCATTCCACTACACCAGGCTAAACTAAGAACCATCAAAGTGTAGTATTATGTGGAAAATACTTGAACACAACGTACACACTTTTCTTGTATTGTCATTTCTAAAGAGACTTTTTAAGAGATTTTTCATTCCTTGTGTTCTTATTCAATTGTGTTTTCATGCTTTCTTTTAATCGTGCATTGTTATACAATAAGAAAAAAGTAAACCATAAAACCGTATCTTGAGTCCCACAACCATATATTTCTCATATTCCTTTGTTCACTTCACCATTCCTACACTCTTCATATATTCTGTTGATATCTCACCATCATTACTTCGCGGAATTCATTATTCTGACCCTCGTCTCCTACAACACATATTTCTTCCCCTCCTACTTTAAATCCTGTGGCACAACATACCTCTTTCACAAACCAGAGCAATATCTCATCTTCATCTTTTCTCCCTCGACTCCACACTTATACCCTCTGTGTCTCTGACAGGAAGATCTTGTGGGCTCACAGGTCATTTATTCATTCCATGTTTGCCAGCGGGGGAGATATGAGAGATTTGTGGTTATGCACGCTGTAGCGATATGATAAACTGTGCATGAAGAGAAAGATATGAGAAAATAGATGAGAGGCTGGGAGCTCCCACCAGAATTCACTGCCCAGATTACACCCTCCATCAGATCATTATTTTGCTCCTTTTTCCCCCTGCTCTTCAAGATATTGCACACACATCCCCCCGTGGTCTCACCAACTTGTGTAAGGCGTTTGTCAAGACCTGGGATTTTGACAATGCAGTCTTTTCAATGCTAACTTCATGCTCTAACTTCTTTCAGATATTCATAACATCTACCTTTCCACAAGCCTCCTTCTGTTCATTTAATTTTACATCATATGTTTTTGTTCCCCTCCCCCATCGCCCCCCAACTTCTTACTCCTGGCTCGAAGCTGACCTGGGCTCCCAGTGCTATTTTTAGTCTCTCCGTCTACCTCTCTGGCTTTGTTGGAGGAGGGGGGGGGGGTAACTCAGAGACGTCCCCTGAGCACACAGCGCTCATATCCTCTCGCCAAACATGGGCAAAAAAAGTCCAGCCAGACTCCGCTCCTGAAAAAGTCATTCTTTCCCCCCCCCGTCCGGCATGTTACTCATATAGTTTGCATGCGACGACCCCAGTGGTGCACACATTCCTCCGTCCGTCTGGACTGCAGAGACATGTGGAGGTTTATGGGTAAGGGTTCAGAAATGTGAGCAATAGCGAGAAAGTGACGGAATGAGAGAGTTTTCGAGCATTAAAGCAGAATAAACTGGGAATAGGAAGAAAAGGGAGAATGCCATTGCCACTACATGTGTCTGGCTTGTACAGTGTGGTACAGTGTGTGCTAAGGTGATGCATCACGGTAAACATCGGGACTGAAAAATGTGGCATGGTAAACCACAGGCACGTTCGAAATTGTAATGTGGTGACAGATGTTGCTAGGGAGCATAAACAAAAAGGAAGAATAAAGACATTTTCATAAAGATTGACATTGTTCTGGTTTTCAAACCCTTACACAAAGACTTGTCTAACATTTTCCACATTCCCCTCCTATACTTAAAACTGCAGTGACCCCGATACGTTTTACCCTCTCAGTCCTTCATTAAGTGATGAAGTGTG